ACATCATCTCAAGACACTTAATAGAGACAAATCAATTAGACCATCCATTTAGCTTGGTTCAAAGTCTTCTAGTCAATGCTTGGTTCAAAGTCAATGCAATCAGCTGGAAAACTAGCCTATTGCATTGACTTATTGACTCGAGAGCATTTCCTCACACTGCTTGCATGACAGTGGAGAGGAAAAAACAAACCTCCAGCAGCACCATGCTCAGCAGGACGGCCTTCTGCTGGTGCAGTCTGGGGGTTCAAAGAGACAGAAGCAAACATACAAAATGAAGATAGAAGCACTGATCCAAGATAGTTTATATGTTAGAAAAGGTAATAGTAAAGTGGTTCATTTAGCCAGTCAAAGTAAAACTGAACCCATAGCTAGGAGAAAAAAAGGACTGAATAATAACTAAAAAAAAAAAAAAAAACAGGCCCAGGTCCATCATCTATAATCTAAGACAGTGGTTCTGAATTCTGGTCCTCAAGTATCACTGCCTTGCATGTTTTAGATGTCAACAGGCAGCAAGTAGAGATCTAAAACACACAGGGCAGTGCTACTTGAGGAGCAGGATTGAGAACCACTGATCTAAGGTGTTGATGGCAGCAGTCCAGGTGATATTTCTCTCTAGGGTATAAAAACTAAACAGGAACAGACAAGATGAACCTACTATGACAAGAAAAGCAGAAGGAGCATGATGTTAGGGTTTACACTATCAAATACTGCAGAATGAGAGAATAGATAGATTGAGGCAGAATGATGAAAGTAGTCCCTATGTCCTCCAGCAGTCTAAGCCTATAGCAGCATAGCTATAGAGATAGCTCAGGATAATGGGAGCCACTCATCAAGCTTTGTCAAAAATGAACATTTTAAGCCAAGTCTTAAAAGTAAACAGGGTGTTTGCCTCACAGACTTGGCACCGTTGATGTGTTAACATGTTGGTAAATGACTGAATATGGCTGCTCCTGGCAGGTAAATGAGCCGTATCAAAAATTTTAAATAGACTTAAACTGGTAACAGGAAACTTAAGGATTTCTCCAAAAACTCCACAGTCTCCAGATCTCATCCAACAAAGCACATGTAGGATGTTGTAAAAAAAAAAAAAAAAAAAAAAGGACAATACCATTATTGGTGTGCAGCTAAATTGCTGCAAGTGTAAGAATTTATTTTAATTTGAATATTTTCAGCACCTTCTTGAATATGTGCCCTAAAGAATTAGAGTAGTTCTGTAGCTAAATGGAATCCAATCTACAGTAACAATAGCAAGGAGTTCCCAATAAAGTGGTCAGTAAGAGTACAGTATTCTTAATCTTAGTCTTTGTTTTGTGAATTTGTGCTGTAATAATAAATTGAATTGAGGGGAATTAAGCATCTAACACAGATGCATTTGTCTGGTTTTTCAGAGTTTGACAGAACAAAATATAACTTGCATCTAAAAAGCTTTGAATATGAAGTAAAGACTTGTATATAGTGCTATTCATGTCATGTTCAATTTATCCTCTTTGCGGAAATGTGCAGCCAACTCAAAACGACTCTAACATCTGTGAGACGATGCATAACATCCAGTGCATTTAGTATCTCACAGTCTTCCTGTAACTGTGAAAGGAGCGCACCAGTGTAGCTTTGTGTTCAGCTGATGACCTTGACAGTCCCAAAGGACATTGGTAGCCTAGAGGCTTGTCTTTCTCCATTTAAACCAGTCTAACAGTTCTTCGTTTGGAAGGGGCAGACCTAAAATTGTCAAGGAAGCAAAGCCAGCTGCAATTATAATGCAATTCAGCTCCATTATGTTCACATTTTTCTGTATCTGTTGGAAATGAGAAAATATGAAAACTTATGGTTCAGAGAAGTAGTTTGCAAATAAATAACTGATGTAGCGACAGCTATGTTGGGTACTTTGAGAAGCAATCTGATTTGTTACGGAGTAGAGTTCAGACAAGTGAAGCTAAAGTACAGAGGATAAATACTTAGAAAAGCAGATCAAAGTCATTTCCCAGATGTCAAGCAATTTCCTTAAACATAGAGGAAAAAGAGCTTACATATGACGCGCTAAGTATCTCTAAGGAGCATGTTGGGAACAGATTCAGAGATCTACTTTTCCTTCTCAGTATTTGTAACGTGTCACTGCTGACTGCTGTCCAGTAAAATCACTTACGATATTCACAGGGATGGTAGAAGCAGCAGATTTCTATCACTTGCCCTTGTAAGGCATGAGTTACAGTCTTAACTTGGCATGGCAGCTGACACTTTGCCAGAGTGGATGTGCTGAGAGGTGTATTAGAAGTGATAATGAAGAACTCACTTCCACTTGAGAATGAGGCAATTAAAGTGGGGGTGTAAACAGCCGAGGGAGCACCGAGTGTGACTTCCCTCCGGAGGGAATCCTCCAACATCCCTCACACCTGAAAGGTCTTTGGAGGATTCTCACTCGGATGAGGATTCCTGATGACAGTCTGCAATGGAGAGGTGTAAGACAGCATGAGGAGCCGCAACAACTTCAACTACCAATAAGTCCTGCATGTTTTACTTTAAGGACCCAGAAGTAATAATCTTTAAAAGCAATCTTCATTATTAGTTCTGAATGTCTATTAATGATGCAATTTAACATTTGGTTATTTTAACACTCAAATTTAGCGCCATTGTTTGAGCTTTTTCGCTGCAAAGACTCATGTTTGTACAGTCCTCTTTTCAGTCTTTTTCCATGACCTTTCATAAAACTAAAGAGATGGCTCTTCTTTTATGCCTTGTCTTCTTGAACAAGTTTCAAATGTTCTTGTTCTTTATTTAGTCGTGTCATGTACTCTAAGAAGGTTCTCAGTGACTTTGGAAGATAAACTGGCCCACAGCATCACAGAACCTCTATCTTACTTAACCGTCGGTATATACTGATTACCATATATTCAACTTTTGTTTTGCAGCAAATGTATCTTTTTCTCTCTGTAGTTTTTATTAAAGTCCAAGAACTTGCTAACAGTAGGATGCAACTCTTCATTGCAGATCTCCAACTATTAACTTAAATTTTATTTTCTATTTTAACTTAAAAAAATAAATCGATTGGGTCTTCATTCACCCTTTTTATAACTTGATCATATTTTAAATTTCAAATCTAATCAGTTTATTTATTTGGTGCCATTTCACAATTTATCATCTAAAGGTACTTTAGAGACAATTTAATCAAATCATACAGAATCTTAGTCTTAGTCTTGTTAAAAGTTTTCTATTTAAGGAAACCCGAGCTGATAGTTCTGAGTCAATGACTTGCAGCATTCACTTGTCCTGGATGAATTTGGATGGAGTTTGGAGAGACCAAGGAGAATCACCATGAATCAGCCTCAAAGCAATTAGGGCAAACTGTCCAGCGCCTCTGAAGGGGAAAGCAGAGTGGGAGGCACTTCTTTTTAGTTATCAGGCTCGAACTTTCAATTGTATTCTTTAAGGCAGACACCCTGCCTACTTTTTAGACTGTACTATTTACTTTTACTTATAGATACAGATTCTAGTTTATATTATAAAGACTGAAAAACATGTGTAATCTTATATTTATACCTCAGCAAAAAAGAAAAAGAAAGAATAAGTTAAAATGCTCTAGTTACGGTAGATGTTAAATGGTGTCAATATCTGAAGCACCACAGCTCTGTTAAGCTCTGTTAAGAACTATTATTTCCTGACAGAGGAACCACTCACTCCAAAAAATAAAATAAAGAATGGATTTATGGTTAATTCAAATTTTAATTTTTTTTTTTTTTTTTATCATTTTATTATTTTTATTTTTCCTCTATCAAAATTCAGGAGTGCCAATAAATGTATTGATCTATGAATTACTGAGGCATTAAAAAGCTGTTTAAACTCAAAGAACAAAACAATGTTGTGTTGACACATAACAGACATCTCAGCAAATCTGTTTTAAATGTGAACAAGCCGTAGTTGAGTCTCAAAATTGTCCCTTATCCAATAATCTCTCTATAGATAATTTTTTTTAAATATTCAAAACGCTGAGTTTAAGAAATTTAAACACAAAGAAAGCACAACTTTAAAAAGGTACAAATACTCCATTCGTATGAGCAGCTTATTTCAATTTTGTGATTTATAATCTGCTCTAATATAATTTTCCTTTTGTTTTTTGTGCCTTAGGGACCAGTGGTCTGCCTGGATGATCTACAGTTACCAATAAACTTCATTTATTATTATTAAAATAATAGCTCAGATGGAAGAATTTCTTGGCATAACACCAGTAAGTAATGTGCTACACAAATTAGATATTTATGCTAGAGGAAATACTGTTAAATGTTTTAGGAAAAGTCAAAATAACCTTCTCCACAGTTTCCACAATGCATCTACCAATCAGCAATCATGCAAAACAAGTTCTTGTCAGATGAAAGTTAATTATTTTGGCCCAGGGTGTGCCAATAAATTAAAAATAAACATCACACTGGGAACACCTATTGTAATAAAATTGTGGTGAGCATCAAACTGTAGGGATGCATTACTTTGGTGTGGAATCTGCTCAGAGTGGAGGTTTATCTTCCAGCAGGAAAACAAGAAAGCTTTTTAGTTGTATAATAAAAAAATAAAATAAAAAAATAAAATAAAAAAAGTATGAATACGTTATTTTTAACATTACTATCTATTTATTTGTTCCACAAATTCCTAAAACTATGTGTTTATTCAAAAATATCTAACATTGCAATGTAATCATTCTGTAAGACAGAGTCTATAAATGTTTCTAAATAATTTTTTAGTTTTAATAAAAGTTTTATTTACATAACATTTTGAACTGCATTTACTGACCTCAAATATACTACAAAAATATAAAATACATTTTAACCTTGTATGGGGTTTTGCTAAGTGTGTTGTAGAATAATGGTTTTACATCAGGGTAAACAAGTCTTTTTCTTTGAAAAATTTTGTTAGGATTTGTCTCCATGTTTAACGTCTGTTTTTCTTATGTGCAGAGGTTGATGTTCATTATTATTAATATTATTTTTTTTAATCAGGCAGTGTTTAGACGCGCTGAAGGGGTCCTTTAAATCTGATGGCGTCTTAAGCGAAGATGTGGAGAAGAATTTATTAGACTTTTATTTTTAATTAAATGTTAATACATCTTTACAAATGCGTAGTTCATATTTTAAGCCACAAAATGGCTCAAACTACAAATACACCAAGTTTAAAGGTAAGTGGAGTTTATATTATGAGCTATAAACAAAGCAAATTGCTAACTAGCCTGGTTAGCATCAGCTACCCGCTGGAGACCAAACCGCTTTGAAAATCCCGTCGATTTATTAGATTTATTTGATGAATAAATGTGTTTAATCACTCCAGACCTCATTATAATCTTAATCTAAGTTTATATGTTATTTAAGAAACATTCGGCTCATAGAAATGTGTAATGCGAAAACTATATAATTGGCAAGAATCAGGTGCTGGCGTAATCCTCTTTATGAGCTGCAGGATGTGTATGTATCATTATATTTGTATATATAAATACACGTGTTTGTGAGTAAAGTTTTTTTTTTCATTTATTTAAAACTGATAAAGCGTACTAAATATTTTATTTCAAAAAGGACTAAGTAGAGTTAAGAGTATATTTTGACTCCCTTTTATATCCATACAGTAAATAGGATTCCTGTAATTAAACTTACTACAAATTTACAGGCTGTAGTGATGCATTTTTTGCAATTTGCTTTATAAATGTACATCATAGACTTATTCACTTTTATTCATTTGATTCTATAATAAAACTCATTAAAGGGGGTCTGTTCAAATAAACTTAAAAGTTTATTACAGTTTTTTCTCTTTGTAGACTAGCTTAATCCTTAAGCATATATACAGTGGGGCAAAAAAGTATTTAGTCAGCCACCAATAGTGCAAGTTCTCCCACTCAAAAAGATGAGAGAGGCCGGTAATTTTCATCATAGATATACCTCAACTATGAGAGACAAAATGAGAAAAAAAAAATCCAGAAAATCACATTGTCTGATTTTTAAAGAATTTATTTGCAAAATATGGTGGAAAATAAGTATTTGGTCAGTTACAAACAAGCACGATTCCTGGCTCTCACAGACCTGTAACTTCTTCTGTAAGAGGCTCCTCTGTCCTCCACTCGTTACCTTCATTAATGGCACCTGTTTGAACCCGTTATCAGTATAAAAGACACCTGTCCACAACCTCAAACAGTCACACTCTAAACTCCACCATGGCCAAAACTAGAGAGCTGTCAAAGGACACCCGGAACAAAATTATAGACCTGCACCAGGCTGGGAAGTCTGAATCTGCAATAGGTAAACAGCTCGGTGTGAAGAAATCAACTGTGGGATCAATTATTAGAAAATGGAAAACATACAAGACCACTGATAATCTTCCTCGATCTGGGGCTCCACGCCAGATCTCACCCCGTGGGGTCAAAATGATCACAAGAACGGTGAGTAAAAATCCCAGAACCACACGGGGAGCCCTAGTGAATGACCTGCAGAGAGCTGGGATCAAAGTAACAAAGGCTACCATCAGTAACATACTACGCTGCCAGGGACTCAAATCCTGCAGTGCCAGACGTGTCCCCCTGCTTAAGCCAGTACATGTCAAGGCCCGTCTCAAGTTTGCTAGAGAGCATTTGGATGATCCAGAGGATGACTGGGAGAATATCATATGGTCAGATTAAACCAAAATAGAACTTTTTGGTAAAAACTACTCGTCGTGTTTTGAGGAGAGAGAATGCTGAGTTGCATCCAAAGAACACCATACCTACAGTGAAGCATGGGGGTGGAAACATCATGCTTTGGGGCTGTTTTTCAGGACGACTGATCCGTGTGAAGGAAAGAATGAATGGGGCCATGTATCGTCAAATTTTGAGTGAAAACCTCCTTCCATCAGCAAGGGCATTGAAGATGAAACGTGGCTGGGTCTTTCAGCATGACAATGATCCCAAACACACCGCCCGGGTAACGAAGGAGTGGCTTCGTAAGAAGCATTTCAAGGTCCTGGAGTGGCCTAGCCAGTCTCCAGATCTCAACCCCATAGAAAATCTTTGGAGAGAGTTGAAAGTCTGTGTTGCCCAGCGACAGCCCCAGAACATCACTGCTCCAGAGGAGATCTGCATGGAGGAATGGGCCAAAATACCAGCAACAGTGTGTGAAAACCTTGTGAAGACTTACAGAAAACGTTTGATCTCTGTCATTGCCAACAAAGGGTATATAACAAAGTATTGAGATGAACTTTTGTTATTGACCAAATACTTATTTTCCACCATATTTTGCAAATAAATTCTTTAAAAATCAGACAATGTGATTTTCTGGATTTTTTTTTCTCATTTTGTCTCTCATAGTTGAGGAGAAAACGTTTGCATCTATCTATGCAAACGTTTGCATATATCTATGATGAAAATTACCGGCCTCTCTCATCTTTTTAAGTGGGAGAACTTGCACTATTGGTGGCTGACTAAATACTTTTTTGCCCCACTGTAGCTAATCTACATTTTATGTTCATAGCATATGAAAGCATTAATTAAAAAAACAATTAACGTCTGTACAATACAGACTATGAGCAGAACTGGTTTCTTGTGGAGTTTCTTTTTTTTCTAGGAATAAAATGAACATGATTGCCCTTTGGAACTCAGACATAACTTCTCCAGCTAATTCAGACGTTTCTGGTGTGATTCAGGTCAGATCAGCCCAGCTGTCATCAGTAATTTTTAATTGACATGTGTCCATAAATTTGAATGATCCCAGGGTTCCCTTTCACCTTCACATCCTGCTGATTTTGGACTGTCGGATAAAAACAAAGAAATAGGCAAATTTGTCACATGCTCTTTAACTCCCAGATGCTATGGCAGTTTTTGCTTATGAAAATAGACAAATAGAATCAGTGATTTTCAAAGAAATGATTCCCAGTACAGTAAATGTGGATGCCCTTTGTTCCTGTTTCAGTCATTCTGTTGTTTAATGACTTGCTTTTTTTATTGTCTTATTTTGCTTTTAGCTTCAGCAGACACGGCTGGATCAGCCATGTCCCTGAAGCCCCAGAAAAATGCCCAAACTACATATTATATTGAGCTTGGAGGTTACCAGTACTGGCCTGTACTGGTGCCCAGAGGCATCAGACTGTACACATATGAACAGATCCCAGTATATCTGAGAGATAATCCATACATCACAGATGGATACAGAGCCTACCTGCCTTCCAGGCTTTGCATTAAAAGGTGAGATGCTAAAATATTTTCAGTCTTATTGCCTAAAGTTGCTCTAGTTGCAGAAACAAAGACAAAAGGGATGACATTTTAAATTCATACATGTGGAAGCACCAAAGTACAACATTTTTTATCGATCTGATGTCTGTGCAGCCTCTTCATCCTGTCCAATGAGACGGTAAATATCTGGAGCCATCTGTTGGGATTCCTGCTCTTCTTCTGTGTTGGGGTGTACAACATGGTGTCGGTGCTGCCATCCATCGGAGCATCGCGAGAGGATTATGTCATATACTCCATCGGGTTGTTCTGCTTCCAGGTATGAGCCGGATTTAGATCTTCAACAACAGATGGATTGTAAAATGAGCAATTTTTCTTAAATCATAACAAGCTGGCTGCATTGATACATATCATGCCAGACTTTTCCTTGTACTGTTTATTTCTAAACCATAATGGCAGATTAACTCGGTAACCGACCAACTTCTTTGAGGATTTGCAGCTTTGTTTTTTTTTTTTATAGGCCGCATATGATGAAATGTAGCGCGAAATTGAAAAAAAAAAAAAACAGGTTTATGCAGGGTGTTTATAAAGCCTGATTCATACTAAATAGATCAAATAATGCTGCTTCTTTTAGTGGGGATAAAGACTGTCCAGGAAAGGAGAGGAGAAAAAAGATGTATTAAATGAAGGAAATACAGACTAGGGCTGGTTAATTAATTGCATTTGCAATATAATCGCAATATAACAAAACAAAATTTTCAAATCATATACGTACTTAAAAGTATAGTGGAGGATGTTTTTTTTCCTGGCAGGATCATGTAAGTAAGTGGTCCTCCTAATTGTCAGTCATTCTGGTAATATGTATGTTTACATAAGGCCATCCTACTTGCTTGTCCCCATTTTCACTGAGAGATGCAAACAGCAACTTTTTAACAGAGCGTGCACAAGGAGAAATAGGCTAGTGCAGGCTCTCTCACACACCCTGTACCTGTTCCCTCTCGGGAGTGGGTACAGGGATATGCATATCCATTTTTTTTTTAAGTGGAGAGGGCGGGTCTTTTCAAAAATTCACTAAAATCCTCCACTAGACCTTTAATTTTGGTCACATTACAATTAAATAGTGTTAGACATTGTAGCTCCAATTCCAGACCTGTATGTGGCAGTAGGTGGCACCTAAAGTGGGTTTTGTTACCACACAGAGGAACAGAATGTTGAAGCTAGTACGCATATAGAAGTAATCACTTTTTCACTCTGAGTTACAGTTAAGTTTTGCAATGAAGGACTGTTTAAACGTCATCAAAAAACTGAAACACTTAAATTAAACATCTACATGTTTTTGGTTAGAGCAGCACAAAATTGAAGTAAATCGTGAGCACTTCGTTTGTCATGATATAGGCTAGTTTTAGCCACACACGCTAATTTCCACCTTGTTTTTTTTTCGTATCCCAGTAAATAGAGATAAACCAATTACGGTATCTGATTTTCAAACTTGTTTTTGTTGAGGGCTCATATCCCCATTCTGATTTATTTCCAAACTGTACTGATTTTTATTGTTGTTTTAACTCAACAAATAAATGCACGACTGACTTAAGACATATGTATTTCCTACAGGCTCTTTCATTTTGGCTCTAGGTATAATTTTTCCTTAAAAAAACCCTACTTTATCCCCATTTCTAGATCAGAATGTATGTCCATTAGAGATGGAATGGTTTATGAAAACCGTCCGAACCGTTCGGTTCTACTGTCTCAGTTCGGTTCGCGTGTGTTGTGTTCGGTTCATGCGCTGCTCCTTTTTCTCATAGGCGACGCGTGTACACTCCAGAGCAGAAGGTGGCGGTACTGCGACCAAAGCCAACCACCAGTAGTAAACAAGAAGAAGAAGAAGCGAAGCAGCTTAGCCGGGTGTAGCAGAAAAAAATCAGTTGTTGTGGAGAATTGTGTAGGAATGGCGAGTGGGAAAGAACAGGAGTTGGAAGACGCGCCACGCAGCACTTTATAGGTCTGCTGTATGGGAGCGCTTTGCATTTAGAGTGACCTACGATGACGTCGGAAAAAAAGTTGTGGATAAAAGTGCAACAGTGTGCAAGCATTGTGCAACACGTTTTGTTTATGCTAACAGCAACATGACCAACATGTCATGCTAACTCCGAAATCCCTCATACTCCATCAGCGCTCCGCCCCGCTGCGCTCCAGACCGGCTGCTCAGAGCAAAGCATACAGCCTCCGCTGTGGCTCCCGTCCGCTCCGCTCTGAGTTCCTTGGAGATCGTAGAGGGCATGCGAGAGATGATTAAATTCAAAGCAGCAAAACATGCGGAAATGATCCAGGGTTTCCGCGGATCATTAAAAATTATTACAATTCATAAATATTTTTGGATTTTTCATTAATTTTTATGGGATTTCGGTGTAACAATCAACATATACCGAACCGAAAACCATGACCACGAAACCGTGAACCGAACCGTGGATTTTGTAAACCGTTCCACCCCTAATGTCCATAACCTTTTGTTAGTTTTAGTAAATATAGAAGAAATTATGATTGTTTGTTGAAGAGTTTGCATTCCTCAAATCCTCTGTGTTTGACTTGATTAAACAGAAACAAATGATCAGACAGTTGATTGGAGCATCGCCACTAATAATCCTGATCATATCAAATAATTACTTAGTTTCTGACCCTCGCACCGCTGCTTCTACCTGAACTGAAGCTGTAGTGATGTCTGTGATGTACTTGAGGTGGGAAGATGAGGGAAAAAAAAAAAAGGTCTAAAAAGTTAAACCTCTGTTTCATTTTTTCCAGCTCAGTTATCACAATATGATGATTTGGGATGAGCCAAATATCATTCACGGGAACTGCTGTTGCCTTAATCCGAGCGATTATGGAACAAACATTAGACCTCAGTGCAAAATTCTCCTGGATGTTCTTAGCAAATTAAACTGAATCTGAGTCTGCAAATCTGCCTGAAACAAAGCTAGTCTGGATAATGAAATGTGTCTTTGAGGCTTTAATTCCTGATGGAGCGTTTCAATCCTCAGCTGTGTATGCTTTGCTCCGTGGGCTACCACCTGTTCTGCTGCCACCGCTCGGAGAAGACCAGCCGCCGCTGGATGGCGCTGGATTACGCTGGCGTTTCAATCGGCATCCTGGGATGCTACGTTCCAGGAGTCTTTTACACATTCTACTGTAATAATGTGAGTTCCTTCATATTTAGTTCTTATTTCTAATAGCTGTGATGCTTGCTTCAGTCTGATGTGATGATAAATCTAACCTTATCTTAAGGAAATATTTGGGTTCTTTAGGTGATCTGACCTGGTGTTGATCATTCATGCTCTATGAAGCTGATTCAGAAAAAGGGTTTAATGCTACAGGAGCAGCAGAGTTAAACCGTATTATTAAACTACTGCTGGAAACTAAAGTGAATGTTATTTAAATGTTGCTGGGGGAGAAACAAGCACAAAACCTTTATAAATGCTCAACTCTGATGTCATCTGATGCTTTAAAGTCATAGGGAAGTCATTTAAATGTCAAATCATTCTGGCTTAAACATGTAAATTGAAAAAAAGACAAAGTCTAGATAAGTCATTTTTTCTTGGATTGAGGAAGTAAAAGAGACATTTTGCCAATGGAACAAGCCAATTTACACCTAAAATAAGAAAACACAATTGCATTGTCTTATTTCAAGTGCATATTATCTAATTATCTTATTTTAACAGTAAAAATACTCTAAAAAATAAGGATAAATACACTAAATTTAAGACATTTTTATTTATTTCTAGATCGTTTTTCAAGTGTATATAAATTTCCTGTTAATCAGATGATATCGTCCCAAAATGTAGAAAATTTATAAAAAAAAAAATCCTGTCTCAAAATTTGTGTTTGTTTTCTTCGTTATCTTATGCAGGCCAGTTAGTTATACGTCAGCTTTTACACCTAAATTCGACCAATCATATATCAACGGTCATCTGTCGATCAAATGTTTTCGTCCATAACGTCTTGATTCATATGTCACAGCTTATATACGCAACGGTTGAAACAAGAAATAAGGATAATTTAGTTTACCATTGAGTTCCGTCCCAGTGTTCACGGGGATGGACGTCTGTGTCTTCAGCAGGCATAGAGCTAACAGAACTGGCAGCGTTGCGAGGCAAGGACTCAAACATGTACGGCTGTAAGCCTTCTACACCAAACCAAGCTTCTGCCGCCCTGGCGTCCTCTTCCGCATCTTCATCCCCGCTTTCCTCCTCTAAATTAAAAATGTATGATAGAGGAGACTCATCCACAGCCGGCAGCACAAAACTCTCCTCCTCTTGCATGTTTCCTCTGTCCATAGCGTTCCTTGACAGTGTCAAGGAACGCTATTGTCGGCCACAATCAAACTTGCTTGTGGACCTTCCGCCACAACAACCCTGCCCCCTTGATAAACAACTAAACACGTCCACTTTATTCACTTGTGTAAAATCGTGCACCAGTCGGGAGAATTTGGAAATGCAACGGTTGGAACAGCTGCTCCCTATGACTTTAATTCATCCCTGATATGCGTTTAAAGTCAACTGAGATCATTAACGTGTCTGATTAAGTCTTTTCCTTCCTGGACCCCTGAACGTTTTCTGGGTGACTCGGAGACCCTGGATTAGACCCAGAACCCTCTGGAAAGACTGCTCATCTCTTCTGAATGGAGAGAACCAATGAGTTCCCCAAAAAGAGCAAGAAAGTGTTGCTGATGAGAGCGCTGCCTCTGAAAAACAATGGATGCAGAGAAGCCTGGTTATAAGACCCTCAGTATTTCAAGCATTGAAGTTCTGCTGAGATGATATAAAGCAGCTGAGGTCTGGAAAAAGCCGGAATGCTCCTGACTAAAAAAGCTCTTTGTGGAGGTTTTTGTGACTCTACCTTTTCTTGGTCTGAATAAAACAGAATGGGATAATCAGGTAGTTAAAGGAAGCATCTGTTTCTGATGTGAAGTGTTTTTCAGATTCCCATTAAGAAGCAGGTCTGGTTGTGAGCGAGCGGAGCGGCCTGGGGAGCAGTAATTGAATAAAGCGAGCGCCTCAGTCTGGCTCCGCTCATTGACTCATTGTTCCCGGTGAATAAGCAACACAACACCTTTTCCGCTCTCATGCGTTCGGAAAACAGCCTCCGATGACACAAGCCGCTTCCAGCCGCCCACCACCACCGTTTGATTTTATTTTATTTTTTATCCCTGAAAGGTTTGGCTCCGCTCGCTTTCCCCCGCATATTGGAAGCGCCGGGTTATTTTGCCCCCAGAACTCGGCTGAAATCTGCTGCAGACTAAACCAGATGGCTGTGTTCACGGAGTGGTCCGTCACTCCTGTTCCTCACCATATGACGCTCGCAAGTCCAGGAGCACCCCCCCCTACACACACTCTTTCCCTCCCGCCTCCTCCTTCGTCCACGCCAAGACGGAGGCTTTGCTTCTGGGTGGCTCCACTCCAGTGGCAAGCCAAGTCCCTGAAGAAAAACAGATTTTTATATTTAGCCAGTCAAACTCTTGTCTAGTCCGAGTCTTTTGAGGGACGCAGATTTGGAGAAGATAGGAGTCTGTGAGGAGGAGGGCCTGAGAGGAAAATTGGCTGCGTCCGAGCCGGGGGCCTTGTTGCGGGTGCAAATTTATTCACTGTGAAATTCAGCAGGACTCGTCGCACGAGGACGTGTGACTGGACGGAGGCCTGCATCCACACACGCGGACAGAAGGGACCGAGCCAAGGCTGTCCAGACTTTCAGCGGCTACTTATAGAAGTTTAAATAGCAAGCACAGATCCGAGGACGGGTTCGCCGCATATCTGTGATAACGGCTGAAACAGTGGGAGAGCTTTCTTAACACTAGGAAAAAAAGAAACGCAGCCAAGATGAAGGACGAATCAGGCTTAGATTTTATTCTCTTAGCTTCTCTCTGTTTGCTCCAAAAGGGATTCTGAATTGATGCTGGTGAAAATCTTTTTCATTAACAAATAAGTGAAACACTTTTTCCTTTAAAGCATCGTCCAGTTTAAAAGGGGTGAGAGATATTTTGAATTTAAGACATGATGATGTCCTTTAAGCAGCTAAAGTTTCTTAAAAAACTTGGAACAGGGTTAGGGTTTTGTTTCTCAGTTCATTTTAAGTGTAATTTATATGTCAGAGCGGAATAGTGAACGATGGTGACATAATATGCTTTCGAATTCTTTTTAACAAATTTTAAAAAATCAGGAATTGTCTAAATTAGTTTTTAGTCTAATAAATCTAGTAGCTCTAAATGATGCAACCAATTGCATCAAAGGTCACATAAGTAAAGCACTTATAGTCTCCCAACAGGATCATGGTAACTCTGGAGGAGCTGCAGCTCAGCTGGACAATCTACTGACATGATAGATCTGTCTTCTAAGGACTCGCATCAAACACTGATCTAGCTAGATTTATGTGAGGAAAACGAGCGCTTTGATCACCCTAGAAACATCGGATAAAACTCAAAACGCAGTGGGGAAGATTTTCTTCAGCAGCTTCAGGGAAGCAGGTTAATGGAGTTAAATACGGATCGATCCTTAAAGAGAACCTGTTTGAGGCAAAATAATCTCCACTGCGCATTAGTCAGCGTTAAATGATTTAATCTGATCAAATGCTTGGTAAATGCATACACAGGTCATGATGGGATCATTTTAGTTTGTGTCCATGTAAACAGAGTTTTTGAATTTCTAATAAGCTAAGGTTTAGGTCGGATAGTTTGTAAACGTAGCTAGTTTTATTAAACGTATCATGTTTCAGGTTCATATCCTGCTCTTTGTTGGACTGTCACACTGAGAGACCCTGAGACATTTGGGTCATAACCTGAAAATGTGTGAAATCTTTAAAGAATTCCAATTCCTCTGTATTTTTTGTTTGCTTATTTTTAGTTGTTTTTTTTTTATCACAAGAATAAAAATCATTTAAAAAAGAAACAAGCCCTAAATTTTAGTTTGAGTTTAGGGGAGGTGTTCAGTGCAGACGCGAGGGTCTAAGTGTGTGTGTTGTCTTGGTTTCAGTACTGGCGGCAGGTATACCTGGTGACGGTCCTGGCCATGATCCTGGCCGTCTTCTTCGCTCAGATCCACCCTCTCTACCTCAGCAAGCAGTGGAAGCAGCTGCGCTCGCTCATCTTCTGCTCTGTAGCGGGGTACGGCCTCGTCCCGACCGTTCACTGGATCTGGATTACCGGAGGCTTCTCCTCCGAGCTCGTACAGGTACGCCTTTTAGGTTTTAATATCCCTTTCTGTTGTAACTTGTTGACTTTAGTTTTTAACTCCTTATTTTTATTTTTCAGGCTTTTGTTCCACGCATCCTTGGGATGTACTTCATTGCGGCTTTAGCTCTTGTTTTCCATGTTTCTAAGGTTCCTGAGCGTTACTTCCCTGGTAAGCAGATACCATTAGGATTTTCTCTCCGTGACTCCTCAGTTATTAAATGTATTTTTCCCTATGCTGCTTCAGGTCAGCTGAACTATCTGGGCTCCAGCCACCAGGTGTGGCACCTTCTGCTGGTTCTGATGTTCTACTGGTGGCACCAGTCTTCAGGCTTCATCATGGCCTACAGACACAGCCAGCCCTGTGCCAGTGCTCCACAGCACACGTAGCTGACTCCTCTACACAGCAGGACCCGACCCTTTGCATGTAAGAACTGCTGGGTGTCGTTTTTTTATGTTGGAGATTTAGGACGGATGGAAGGAGGAAAAAAAGTTTCTCAAATGAAGCAGAAGCTTCCGAGGTGGTTTAACATGAGAAGAAATGTTGGATTTTAAAAAAGAACAGGGAAATACATTAATTTATCAAGTTGACACACATTTCTATGTAATTCTCCTGCATATATTTCTTAACTCATCCATCTGTTTATTTGTATGTTAATCGGTTTATCATCTGACTCCATTCATTTTTATTCCTCCTGCGATCATCATTCTTCACTGATTATCCACCTCCATCCTTTTCTATTCATCCCTTTGTCTGGATTTTTCCGCTCTTTCTTGCAGTTTGATGTTTTTGCAGCTTCCATGATGTAAGATTTATGAAATGTCTGCATGACATCTACTAAAACTTTTTATTTAAAATGGCCTAAAAGGGATTTAAAACCATGTCTGCAGAAATTGTTGACCGAAAATTTGTGAGAACCTTTTATTTTTCTTTAGAAAGGTTTGATTTGCAAATAGTCTCTCTACTATGTAGGAGGCTGAGTCTGAGCATTTAGACCTGCTGTCTTTTAGAGTTCAGATGTTTGATTTTCTTCATTTTGGACACTGCAGGACAGCGTTCCAGTCGAATCTGCAGACCTGAGCCGCTTCAGGGTGTGTTGGGACGAGTCTCACTCAGGATCAACCATCAAAAGGACATTAATGTCAGAAGGTCACCTCCAGAAACCCGTTCTGAGTCCAGGCAAGCAGCCATGTCACCCACCTGGTCATCAGGTCTTTAACATTCTTCCAAGTGCCTGAAAATGATGTAGCTCCTTGGCTCAGTCCTGTATATTTAGACGTTTCAATGTCCCATCATTGAGCTGAATTTGAACCACTTAGTCACAGAAAGTGACCATCAGTCAATAATGTTACAGGAATGAACCCAAAGATTGTTTTTATTCAACATGTTAGTAACCAGATGTCTGTGTTTTTTGGGGGAGAAGGGGGGAAATGTTTAAGTAATAAACGATTCAGAGCTGCAGATAAAGTTTGGGGAGAAATTCCTCCCCGTTTAGTGAACTAGATCAGATTTAAAGGAAATAATGAGCAGCTCTGCCTCTAGAGGGCACTACTGAGACACTCCAAGGGTTTTAGTGGCAGTATTCACTTTCCTTTATTTCATGGTTGTATTTTTTGATCCTTTATTGGGCTCATATGGGAGACCTTCTTCCTCCCCCTGAGTTGATGGGAGAAGCTCTCACTGTGGATAGAAACAGTGTTTTATATGTAAACAACTAAGGTATGATGTTCTAGGTACTATGTTCTAGTTCAGGGGTCTGCAGCTCTTTGGAGCTTCCAAAGATTTTACATATAGACTAAATAACTGCTTATTTAGGGTTTGAATAAATCGAATTTTTTTTACCACATAATGACAGTATTAGTAATATCAATTTTGGTCTTCAGGTTTATCTAATTTTTTTAATCAAAACGTCCCATAGAAGAAAATGTAAATCCACATGATTGGCAAAATTCATGTTTTCTTTCTTGAATTTAATGTTGTAAAATAAAATGGGACTGTTCTCTATAGTGGATTTGAATCAAAAATTGAGTTATCATTCAAGGAAGGTAGCAGTTCTGAAGTTTTGTGTTCTGGTTTGAATCCCACAGACTGCCTCCCTGCAGCAGAGCCCACCTTATGTGTAAAGTTGCATTGACAAAGATAATTATGGAATGGCTCTCTGGATTGCAAAGGTTGCAGACCTCTGATACGCCTCCTTTAGGGTGATGTGCAATGTCTCTGTTTTCTCATATGAACTGACTTCATTCCAGAATGCAGCGCCTCCATGTTAGCTTTGGCTCCAGAGGCTGAGTGGGAGCTGATCGGCTCTGCTAACGGTCTGAGATTCTGAGGAATCCATTTTCTTCTCTCTAGCAAAATGGGATTTTAAATGATTATTTTTCAACATCCATTTTTAGGTTTAAGTGAAAATAATCCTATTATAGTTAGTCACATATAGAAATATTTTAGCCAAATTGTCCCCCTGATAATGAACATCTTTGTCTTCAAACACAGCAGATCTTTAAACCAGCTTTTTATGGCATTTCAGGTGCTGTTTAGAATCTGCTTTTTTGCAGCTTTAATTTAGATAATAAAAACCCACCACTGTCATTTTTTTTTTTTTTTTTTTATATAGAAGAGCAGCTCCTTCAATGTTTGTCTTTTGGGTCTCAGCTGAGCCCAACTGATCACGAGTCTCTCATCATTAAACAATAATGGAGTTAAAAAGATAAAAATGCAGGCTGGTTTTGGAATGAAAGGTTTCTGTTTTATAGTCAAATTTCTGATACTGTTTGTATTTAAATTATTAATGGTCTTCAAACTGTACTGCCTATAAATGACGTAAAAAATCTTTTCTTATCTGCTGTTTATAAAATGACTTATTTTGATGCTCAAGTTTTTGTCTTTTTCTTCTCATGACACTATTTAAAAATACAAAAAAACGTGACTAATAAAAGTAAAGCTGTGTAGCTAAACTTGTTTATAAGCCTGCTGTTTTTATATTAAGTTTCACATTACACATTTTCTAATAAATAATCCCAATAAAAGGGGACTATTTATTCATTTGGATTTGGCCAGAAGTGCTTAACAGGATGCAGCTTTGTGTTTTTATTTCTTTTTTTTTTTTCTTCAAACACAACTTGAGTTCATACAAAAAAAAAAAAAAGCCTCAGCAGAAGTTTTTCTGCTACAGTTAGCCTAAAAATTAATGGCATCAAACAAAAGCTTCAAATGTTTTAAGAAAGATAAAAACAAATTCCCTTCTAGTGAAATGTAGCGTGGCCACGCCCACGTTTAGCTGCAGGGAAAGGGTGCATAGATAAAAACCCACAGAGGACGAGACGAAGTGGTAAAAGCTGCTTTCAAACCATGCGGCAGAACTGTTGTTCTCCGAGGTGCTGAGAAGTGGGTCGGGCGCAGCTAAGGTAAGGCTTCCTGGTGCTTAAATCTATCAGAAGGCAGATTAAAAAGAGCTTTTAGCAGTCAAGTATAGGCGTTATGATCACAGTACGATTTCTCTCTTCAAAAAGTCCTAAAAGCGTTAAGATGCTAACCTGACAACAGCCAGATGCATGTCTCGCTCCGCCTAGCCGGAGCGAGACATGCATCTGGCTGTTGTCAGGTTATTAGGATGCAGCATAAAGGCAGAAACACTCCACAGGATTCAGGCTTTCTTATTAGAAAAAGTGGTTAAAAATGATCCCAAACCAAAAGGGCTCAGGGTTAACTGCTACTGGCAGAGCGGGAAGACGCATTAGCTACTGCTTGGAGGGAAACGGCGCCGCCCCAAAAGGGTCGAGGTCCAGCGGCTGCGAAGGCACCGCGGGCTGCTGCGGTCCACTGTGAATCACCAGTTCTGTGAAGGGCACCGCCCCGAAATCATCCATGCTCCTGCTTTCGCCGCCACTCCATGACTTCCCGTTGGCGGTGCTCATGTCACCCGTGGCGTCGCTGAGCTGGGGGTACTGGCCGAGGCGGCTGCTGTCTGGAGGGTGGAACGGTTTGGCCCCAAAGAGGTCCAACAGAGCATCGTCCACCGGCAGAGGCGCTGCTTTGTCTTTCCCTTCGGCCATGCTGATGTCCACGCTGATGTTCTCCTTGGAGTCGGAGGTGCTCAGGAACTCGTTGCTGCTCTGAGAATCTCTGCGGCCCACCTTCTTGTGCCTGCGGACCCTCTCTGGGGTGCGGTAGGTCGGCTTGTTGCCCTTGCGTCCTCCGGTCGGGGTGCTGTGGTGCCGCTTGCCGTTGCCGCCCCCCGCCGTCGCCTCCTGCTTGGTTTTTCTCTGGCGTGATGACAGCTTCTGCAGACTGCGTTGCTTCTGCCTCTGCAGGTTTGCCGAATCCTCAAATGGCAACTCGAAGATGTCCTCTGCGCTCCTGGAGGTGGTGGGAGGAGGCTCTGAGGGGCCCGGCTGAAAAGGCGAGAAGCCGAAGACGTCGGTACCTTCGGGAGATACCGGCGGCGTTTGTCCCATGGTGACATCGCTGCCGCTCCTTCCCGACTTGGAAACATTCCGACTGAACGGGGCTTTGGTAAAAACATCAAAGTCGTCGGCGGCCGGGTCTTCCTGGCTGACCTGCCTGAAAGGTGCTTTAGTGAAGATATCAGTGATCTCTGAGGGGCTCGCTGGTGAAGCTCCTCTGACAAAAGGGATGGCGCCAAAAACGTCAGTGTTTCTGGCTCCACTGGGCGACACTGGAGGGGTGACCAGACTGGTCCTAGACCCCCCTAGTGGACTCCTGGAAGCACTGGGATCGGCTACTTTAGCGGCTGCAGGTTTCTTTGAGCGGATTTTAACCTTGTTGGCATCGCAGTCTGAATCTGAGCTGTGTTTGTCCTCGTCCTCCTCTTCCTCAGAGTCCATCAGCAGAGGCCTCTGTCCAAGGTTCTCTGGCTCTGTGTCTTCACCGTGTTCACTGTTCAAGGCCTCCTCTTCCTCCTGCTCTTCATCCTCACTGCTCTTAGGCGAAGGCGGGTCGGACTCGAAGTCGCTGTCGGACTCATCTGCAGGTTTACAGCTGTTCTTGTTTCCTGGTTTGGACTCCTTGACCGACTGCGGGTCCTTGATGGGAGCTGGGATGTTGGAGACGACCTCCACAGGCTGCTCACTGCTCATCACTGCAGGTCCTACAGGGAAAAAACAAACAAACCATAAAATCCTGCATCTCTATTTATCCCAGACCCAGAGGCCTAAACGAAACATTTAAAAGTTAGTTGATTTTAGTTAAGAGGTGAAGACCATACTCGGGTGTAAAACAAGATCACGTTGATTTTCTTCAACATTTAAGGGGAGGCCAGCTTTCTGGTTAATCAAGCACACAAAGCAAATATCTGTCGTTTTATCCATCTATACCATTCATTTTCCATCAGACTTTATCCCAGCTGGGGTCATGAGGGGGGTGCTGGTGCCTATCGCCAGCTGTCTAGGGGCGAGAGGTGGGGTACACCGTGGACAGGTCGACAGTCCATCGCAGGGCAACACAGAGACAAACAGGACAACAACCAGAGGAGAATTTAGAGAACCCAATGAACCTAAAAGTCATGGTTTTGGACTGTGGGAGGAAGCCAGAGTACCCGGAGAGAACCCACACATGCACAGGGAGAACCCTCCCATGTGGGGAGAACATGCAAACTCCATGCAGAAAGACCCCGGGAATTGAACCCAGAGTATATGTTGCTGCAAGGCAACAGTGTTCCCCACTGCCTCACCGTGCAGCTCGGAAACTTTGAGATGTAATATTTTAAATTGTACTTCTGCTTTCGTCTATTATTCTTGTCAGTAATAAAAGATCAGTCAATCATTGTCTCTGCACCATTTACTGGGATGCTGATTGAAAGATTAACTAGAATTTAAAACTATCTTTTCCTCCAAGTACGATGAGCTTTAAAAGCTTATCTAGCCTCTTATCCTGTTTGCATAAGGACAGAAACACAGCAACATCGGATTTTCTAGGCTACAGAATTATATTTCTTTTGTTGCTTTTGATTATTTTTGCCAACACAGACCTATGAAGCAAGTGGCACTTGATAAATGCAAAAAGAGGGACGTGTTGAAGGCAGAGTTACAGCAAATTCATCATTTGAATTGCTGCAGCATCTCTTTAAATAGTCAATTTATTGTATTCCGGATGGAATTGTGTACAGTATTTGAAATATAACCTAACAAGCAAAAATAAGGGTAACAAGTTGATGGAAAAGATTAAAGCCATTTTTCTTTCTTAGATACGCTGCTTGTTTCTAATCCAAACTGTGTGAGAATGTGGGGATCGGGTCTGCGCCAGGAATCGAACCCAGAACCCTATTGCTGCAAGGCAGCAGTGCTACCGACCGCTGAGCAGCCAAAAGCCAGCTACTGTCTGATTTAACAGCAGCCAAATCCAGAGCAAAGGTCCTTTCTTCTAAAGAAAGGATTTCGGAGACCTGAACAGTTATTTTCCTCCTGGGCCCTGGGGCGATGTTTCCGAGACTTTTTCCTTCCACTAAATGTTCCAGTAATACAATAAACAGCCAGCTGGGACCTACTACCCTACCCTACTAATGATCATCTTCAGAACATTTCAAAAGAAAAAAGCCTTTTTATCAGATTTTATCTACATTTACTCCATATTCATTAAAACACCTCAAATAAATCAGAAAGTGATAGATCTAGATACCTAGAGCTGCGCTGACTTATGAGAACAGAGATCTTTTTGTTTCCTTGTGACACTAGCCTGACCTCCCTAATATGCAGCTTTAGTGGACTAAGGATTACTTGACTTTGAAATGATTAGCGCACAAACGGCGACAGTTTGACTCGCGTTGAAGCAGCAGAGGAGCAATATGGTGGAAAAGCTGCTGTGACTCTGATCGCGCAGTGAGATGAACAAGCTTAAAGGCCGAAGGAATAAGATGCTGAGCCTTTTCTAAGATTGACAAAATTACTTTTCACATCAAATCTCCCAGAAAAGATTGACTCTTTAAGTCGGAAAACCTGAAGCCAAAACATTCCTTTAATTCCAGCATTTAATGAAACAAGGAAAAAAAAAAAGAAAAAGAAAAGAACCTTTGTGGGATTTATGTCCAAGACATTTGCATAATGGCAACTAAAAAATTAGCCTAATTAGCGAGTGGAGAGCCTCCAATTGTAGGGAAAGTAAACGCTGCCACAGCGGAGACGCCAAATGATTGTTCCTTATTAGAGGAAGCTCTAAATCAGACGACCCCCCGCTGCGAACATGGAAAAATGGAAAGCTCTCCCCTTCTTTATCCAAACTGGCAGGACGAGGTCCAGAATAGCAGGATATTAGGAAGAGTCGTGCATCTGTTCAGCTCACAGGACCGGTCACAGATTAGAACTTTAATCATGTTCACCTCACCGAGGCTGCAAATGGAAACATCTTTAATCGCACGGAGATGTCAGCCTGACGCAGATTGTGTTCCTATGGAAATAAGCTTGCAGGATTACGAGCCGCGCTGCCGCTTTAAGAGAAACAAATAAGTGGTGAAAATGCGATTGCTCTCTTGTGGGAATAAAGAGGAAAATCTGGTGCAGTGCTTAAAAAAACACCCTGGTGGAGTCAAATGTTAGAAATATTCACGTTAAATTGTTTTTGGATCGACAACTTTAAATGGATTTATGGCGATTTGTTTTGATCAATGCATGTTTAAACAATAATTAGAAATGTCGACATCTGAATAAATATGGTTTTAAAAAGAGGATGTTAAACTACTTCCACATTTTGTCCAAAAACTATGAGAATAAATCTCAAAATCTTCTGAGAATAGATTTGGTATCAATAATAAATAAAATAAAAAACCTGAAACTGCAAATCAACCATTTTAGAGTCAGGGCCTAAAACTGGGTCTGGTATTAAGCTGTGGTGGAAATAAAGTTAGATAAGTTATCGTATATAATCAATAATCTGTATTTAGTCATTCTCAGATACGCTGATGAGGGTCAGGAAGGAAAAAAGTGGTGAAATGTTCTTTTACTTT